TCAGGATGGGGGATCAGGCCCTGGGATGGGTCAGGGCTGGGTACAACATGCTTCTCAGGAGCTGGTGAGCCCTGAAAGCCATCACAGACACCTGCAGTCCCCAGGGGCTATGCTCTTGCAGCATCCTTCCATGTGGCCTGGTGCAACCACAGATGGATGTCACCTTTTGATGGGGAGCTGGTGAGAGCAGCCTATTCCTCCCTGGGTCTCCTGCTCCTCACTGGGTGCTGGTGACATGGGGCTGTTCCCTGCCCACAGCAGGTACCTCTCCATGCAGGTGTGCTGGCATGGGCTGCCCCAGTGCACCCAGCCTGTCGGGAGCCAGCAGTGGCAGGACCTGACAGGCAGCATGACTGTGCTGGGAGGGGAGACCAGAAGACACTGACACCGAAGTCAAGATGTCCATCCCCTACCCCTCAGCCCAGTGTCCCCCTCCTCGGGATTGTCTCAGGAGAAACCAGGCCAATCCAGCCCAGCCCAGCTCAGCCTGTTTGCAAAAACACAGCCCTTTGCCCTGCGCCCTCCCTACCACACCCTGGGGTCCCGCAGGCCTCCATGGGAGCAGGGGCCACGAGGTGCCCTGGTCCCCAGGGATGGGCTGGAGGTTCTGCCTCACTGGTGGGGGGAAGGGATGGCCCCAGGGGGAGCTGGAGGCACTGGGAGGGCCCTGAAAGGGCTGGGAGATAGTCCCTGAATGTTATCAGCCCATCGTCTCATGGGATGGGGAAGAGCCATAAAGGGCTGTCCCCTTGCCCTGGACACAGACAGCATTCCAGGAGGGAGCCAGAATGGGAAACATGGAGCGGCTGCTTTCCTGGGGAACTTGCCTTCTCTGCTTCCTTGCCCAGCTTGCTGCTGCAGCCTCAGGTGATGGGGAACATGTGGGTCAGGGGAGTAAGACCCCTTGGTGGGGGTACTGGGGCTGGTGTCACTTCCCCCAGGGGTCTCCAGGGACCCTGTCACCTCCCCATGGGATACTAGTGAAGGGGAGCCCTCCCGGGGGTGGTCTGAGAGCCCAGCCTTTGAGAGGGTTGGTCTCAGACCCCCTCCCCAAAGCAGGCACTGTCCCTGTCTCCCCCAGCACCCTGGCACTGACTTTGGCTCAAGCAGCTT